CCACACTTGTGGGAAGTGTTGGAAGGATCACACCGGAGTTTGTAGGTCTGGAGGTGCGTGCCGCAAGTGCGGGAGAGAGGGGCATTATGTGAGGGATTATCGTCAGTCAGCCCCGGTTTAGGATATGAGGATTTGTTACCAGTGTCATTAGGTTGGTCACATGAGGGCCAACTATCCACAGCTTACTGCAGGACCGGTGCAGGCTCCAGCACCGGCCATTTTGAGGATTACGGGTGGAAGTCAGGGTGGAGCAGAGCCCCCAAGGGCTTCGGGTCGTGCATTTCAGCTTATAGCAGAGGAGGTCAGGGCAGAGTCAGATTCGGCTGCAGGTATGTTTCCTTCTTAATATCTTGTTATCTTATGGTTGTTATGAAGTATTATATCTACTAGTCTTGTTCACATAATTTATGGTATTGCATTTGTTTGAATTTTCGAGTTTATGGAATTATTGAGGAATCGGTTAGTATCCAAGGGATTGATGGTCAGAATTTGGTTGTATGGTCTTGTTGTTCAGTATAGCATTCACGATGTGAGAAGTGATCAGCTGGAAGTCGGACTTCTTTGGGATTCGAGATGTTCAATTGACGGGAGAGCAGTTTTGTGAAGGTTACTTGTTCAGAGGAAAGCAGTTTTTGGATAAGGAAGGTTTGGGATAGAGACGGTTGTTCTCGGCCGGATGAGTCACCGGTATTTAGAGGTCAGTGTTCTAGGTGGGGGAGAGTTGGAAAATTCTCGGGAGGATCGACAAGTATTTGAGTTCGATTAGCCGTTTGGAAGTCGGCGGTGTTTCAGTCAGCCATGAGTGCGGGTTGGTATGAGTAAGTGACAAACTAGTGGGGGTAGGAAGCAGACCATGGATTCAGGGTAGATAATGGTTGATGTTAGGCCTGGGTTAGGCCATGGTGAAGATTCCAGGATCGGAATGGAGTTAGAGTTCGGAACCCCTTGAGTGCTAGAACAGTATGTTCGGGAGAAAGTCCCATGAAGGATAGTTCGGGACGAGATACGATGGTCTGAGCGGTCCGGGGAGACTGAAGGCCTATGGGCGTACCAGTCGAGCCGAAGGCTCGGAGAACAGTCCAGACAAGCTGAAGGCCCTGGGAGGGGGTGGTCCAGACATGCTAAAGGTTCTGAGAGTGTTCCAGATTTGCTGAAGGCCTGGTAAGGCGGTCCAGTCATGTTGAAGACTCGATAGGTGTTGATAAATCTGAATGAGTAGATGAATTGAGTATGTTGCGTTGCAATGGTAACCGGTAGGTCTGGCCCCGGGTATTGATCATATTGGTGGGAGGCGGTGCAGGGACCCGAGAGTGTATAGACTTACTCTATGTCTTGTATGGTGTTGGATCTTTTTAAGGACATGACCTCATATTGGATGGTGTGGAGGCTTAGTATTAGGATACTAGATCACCCGAATTCTCATTATGTACTTGATCCTTATGCCTTACTATCTTTTTTCATGTTGGTATCTCTTGTTTAATGGCTTATCATATATGTTTTTCTATTGTTAATGTTCCTTCTACAACTTGTATAGACTTACTCTTTGTCTTGTATGTTCTTTTACACACTCTCATTTATATGTAATGTAGGTCATCTATGGAATATGAATGAAAGTTGTCAACCTCCCCTTTCTCCATCCCATCGGGATTATTGGCTATGTTGTTGTGTATATTTTTGCATACAACATACTCAACTTTTCTTATGTTCATTTTTAATTGATTCTTCTACTTTTTGTCTCTGCTATAAGTTCTCGTTCGTGTGCATGTTCGAGGTCTTATATGTGATGTAGTTGTTCTTCGACGTACGAGTGTTGCAGACATGTACCTTCCCCTACTCCATCTTAATGGGATTTTCGGAATTTATTGTTGTTATATCTTTAAACGATATTTAAAAAATAATAATAATAATAATAATAATAATAATAATAAATAAATAAAATTTTAAAAATTTTAAAAAAAAAAAACAACAACTTTAAATCTTATAGATGAAAAGAAACCATTAGAAAAGTGTTCATGACAACTTCTAACGCATTTAACTAAAATTTGAACTTTGATTACGAGGTTCATACTTTTTCAATTGCACTCCACAATAAAGACTAAATATATTGTAATAACAGTGTACTAAAACCAATTTAATAGTTAACTTGTATTGTATCAAAATATGGTTTAAGAAAAACAAATACTTTAATTACTTATATGGTTTGAATTATAATAAAACAGATTATCCAAACATTGAAAATACTTATTAGCGCTATAATAAGATGATAAATCAAAATAAAATAGCTTATCATATATATATATATATATATATATATATATATATATATATATATATATATATATATATATATATAATATATATATATATATATATATATATATATGTTCAGGTTCATTTGAGACCATTTTAATTTTGTGAGACCGTGAGACCAAATCTAAAAATAATTTTAAAATGCAAAATAAATGGAAAAATCCAAAAATTCTTTTTTTTAAATATTATTTTCGGAACTTGAATTAACTAAAAAAATAAAAAATAAATAAAAAAAATTAAAAAAATCCCCTTTTTTTTTTTTGAAAAATACGTGAAATATTCTAAATAGAATATTACACTGACATATTCTAAAAAATAATTTTAAAATGAAAAATAAATGGAAAAATCTAAAAATTCTTTTTTTAGATATTATTTTCGGAACTTAAATTAACTAAAAAAAATAAAAAAAAATCTATTTTTTTTTAAAATACGTGAAATATTCTAAATAGAATATTACACTGTACATATTCTAAAAATAATTTTAAAATGCAAAATAAATGGAAAATTCAAAAAATTCTTTTTTTAAATATTATTTTCGGAACTTGAATTAACTAAAAAAAATTTAAAAAAATAAAATAAATAAAAAAAATAAAAAAATGCGTCTCACGGTCTCACAAAATTAGGCCGTCTCACATGAACCTAACCCTATATATATATGTATATATATATATATATATATATATATATATATATAGAGAGAGAGAGAGAGAGAGAGAATCAAGATCAAATAAGAAGGAAATTTTTGGTAGGAAAGTAAGAAGTTTGTTTCCTATATATTTTTTTCGCAAACAAACAAAATGAATCATTAGATGATTCATTTGTAAGATGATTCACAAGAAAAAAATTCAAAAAAACATCTCGATGATTCATTTATACAATGATTTTGTTGTTATTCACTAAAATTGTCTTAAAAGTGATTTTTTTTCTTAATTTACTTAAAAATAAATCATAAATATGTTTTTTTGAGAATTTTTTTTTTGTGAATCATCTTACAAATGAATCATCTAGTGATTCATTTATTTTGTTCGTCCAAAAAAGTATGTAGAAAAAAAATTTCTTACCTTCCTACCAAAAAAAATTTCTTACCGGATCTATATATATATATATATATATAGGGAAAGGTTATTTGGAAAACAAAAAAAACCCTAAAAATCATAAAAATGCATAAAAAAAAGACCTAGAGATCACAAAACTTTTTTTTGACATTTTTTAAGAAAAAATCGCAGATTTTTAAAGAAAATCGCTGAAAAAAAATTGAAAAAAAAAAAACTTTTTTTTTTACAAAATATATATATATATATATATATATATATATATATATATATATATATATATTATTTTTTTTCAGCGAATTTTTATAAAAAGCTGCGATTTTTTATAAAAAAAATTCAAAAAAAATTTTGTGATCTCTAAGTATTTTTTTTATGCATTTTTATGATTTTTAGGGTTTTTTGTTTTCTATAGAAACTAAACCTATATATATGTGTGTGTATATATATATATATATATATATATATATATATATATATATATATATATATATATATATATATATATATATATATATATATAAAAGTTGATAAACAAAAGTTATTTAACACAAAGTTCACAATTTTCTAATGAAGTGAGTTTTAATCCCAACAAGCAACAACCATATAATTATATTTTTAGGGTATGTCGAAAGGAATGAAATGATACGTGAATAGAATACAATAGTTAGAATCATTATCATTTTGTCATCATGTTTGGTTACTTCCATGGAATTAAATTAGTTATTAATATGTGTTGTTTGGTAGGCAAATAAAGATAATGAATAAAATAATATTAATTGAAAATGACAAAAATGCTCATACAATACAAAATTTATATATTTTGCAATTTTTACAACATTCTTTAATTAAATAAAAAGTCATATTTTTATCATGATAACTACATGCTATATAAATAAATAACCACACTCAAATATTCATTTCATTAAAAATTTATCAATTTGCTCCAACTTATCGCACCATCTTGATGGCAAACATCATTCGGATTTATCGTTGGTATCTACGGTACAATGCCAAATAATTTTGCCCATTTGATATAAAACCCTCACATGTTCAGATACAAAACCATACACCGAAGAATAAATCACAATATGCTCATTAAAATCCAGTTTATTGTTGGAACATTAGCAAACCCGAATGTTAAAAATCGAGTTATCTTGATCATCCATTTAATGTTTTGCACTTCATATTGATGATTCATGATTGTCATCGACACCCAGGTAGCATTCCTTCTCCCAAAAAAAAAAAAAAAACATTTTTGACAGAAATGGAAATGGAATCGTTCAATCAATTCCGTTCCTTGTTACCAAACAGGCACCTAACTGAGTAACTTTTATCCTCTTATTCATTGGAAAAAGAAAGTCTTGGAAACACAAGTTTATTATAGAACATCACTAATACTTGAGTCATTAATATATAAATATAATATGCCTACATGAGAAAAATGTTTTATTCCTTGAATTACTTTCCACTCAAAAAGGTTAAATTCCAAATGTATTTAAAAAAATATACATATTGAACATACATATAAACATCTTTAAATCACAATTCAGCAACCCCTGGCCTTAACCGGAAAAGGGGATAACTGTTATACTATATTATATGATGATGATGATGATGATGATGATGATGATGATGATGATGATGATGATGATGATGATGATGATGATGATGATGATGATGATGATGATGATGATGATGATGATGATGATGATGATTGATGAGGGTTTTTTTTGAGTTGTGAGATTGTATTTAGTAATTTACACTCCTCCTGCCTCTATCTTTTCCAACACTTCCAATCTACTTTTCCTTTTCCAACCTTGCATTGTAGCCACAAGGTTTATTAGCCCCACCATTTGACTCTTGGTGTACTCCTACATCATACATCATACATCATACATTTAGATTTTATAAAAATATATAATATATAAAAAGAAAAGAATTACCGGATGAGCACGTGCCCAATGCACATATTCAGTTTCTGGAAGGTAATATGCCTTGATAAAAGTTTCTACACTCTGTAACTTTGGCTTAACATTAATAGTCACAAAATGCTGAAGCCCAGTCATCAAAACCTGAAAAGCAACACAAACATTAGTAATATAGAAGTGTTGATAATTAAAAAAATAAAATAAAAATAAAAACCTGAAGATCCAATAACATGAGGGCACGACCCTCATCGGAACAGCGTTTGACTCTGGAGAGTCCTTCGACTAAAACATCAGAAATATTTTCAAGTCCGTATCCTATTAACAGATCTTGAACCTCTGTTCGGATGCCTCCATGAGCTAATCTTGTTTTGTAGTGCTTAAATTCCCCCAATAAAAGGTCAACATACCTGTAATTCAATTTCAAACAACCCATTTATTTGTACATATTAATAAATAAATAAATAAACATGTTAAACAAAAAGATAAGATAAGATAAGATAAGATACCCGTTATGTTCCATTCCAAGCTCTTTAACTTCCCATTTGGCATTTGCAATTCTATCAACATACCTGCAGTGCAATCGGATAAGTCCATGTAACAAAAGTGTGAACATGATGCATATTGATTTACATAGCATTTGTCATGTTTTACCCACTAATATGAAGAAGTGATTTTGCAGTTGTTCTATGGATTTGGTCTGTTAGATCTGGAACTGAATCCACCTGTTAAAAAATCAAAACAGTTACATTATCTCCATTTTGGATTTTTTTTTTTTAAATATGGTAATGGAAGGATACCAAATTTGAATAAAACTCTTCAACGATTGATGATTTATTTGCCAAAAGTATCGATTGAAGATGAGGCTTGGATTTGTATAATAATCGAGCAACAAGAGATATAGTGTCTGCTCCTGTGCATCTTTCCTGCAGCATAAATAAGAAAACATGGCAAAATGTAATAAATTTTATAAAAGTAATCTGGATTTTATTACCTTGAGGCCAAAAGAGGTGGTGGGGACATGAGTAGAAAAAGGATTAGTAGGTGTGATGTCCATAAGAGGAAATGATGACTTGTTTAAGGAGTCTGAAGGAGATGGGGAAGAATTTATCCACTGATTGCAATCTTGAGATATTCTGAATAAGCTTGTTTTAAGACGATCTGAATCCCAAACCAAACTAAATAAAATCAACAAATGGACAAAAAAATATGTAATAAAGTTAGTCAAACAGAGAAAAAGGATAAAACAACTTACAACTAAGATTCGTGTTCTGATGACCAAAGCTTTCAAACACAAAATGGAAAAAGATCCCAAACAACTGGCATATCCCCTGTGTGTGTAATGATTTGACTCGTTTAGACCTAATAATTACTTATTAATTGAACTACATTACATAATACATACCTTGAAAAACTCAACATTGATTATCTCTAGTTTTTGCATTAGCCTTGCGTATTTATCCATCAGCCTATTTTATGTATAAACATACATTTAAGTTTAGTCAACTACACTGAAAAGCAAAAACACTTATCGATTAAGATTTCAGAGAAACAATAATTGACCTTAGAACGCATATTGATGACCCTGTGTGTGTTCTAATATCTTCAGAGCTACCAGATAAAGAGTGATTTCTTGAATGTTTGTGCTTAGAAATACGACTTGGTAGTTGACTATCCTCATCAATAAAATCTGCAAGAAGATCTTCATTTTCATCTTCTGATGTATCAGCATGACCATGGCCATTACTGTAATTTACATCACCATTACTATGTGAAGATACAGATACAGATACCCCATTGGTTTTTTCACATGCCTCTGAACAAAACGGATTCCCAGTTTTAATCCAATGTGAGAATCCACCTTGTTTAGTTCTAGTTTTTACTAAATTAGCTGAGGTGGCAGTTTGACTGGTCAATGCAGCTCCATCGCCAACAAGGCCTGCAAAACTCACTACCTGAATTGTCTCTGGTGGCATCATGAACCAACTCTCCTTTTCCAAAACCATTTTCAGAGCCTGATATATGAAACATTATCTTTTTTTCAGTATTTCTATTATTAGCATGAAGAGAAGAATACAAGTCAAGTCTTACATGTATATTTTGTTTGTGAAAAGCAAGATAGTAGTTTTCAGAAATGGATTTCAGTTTCTGCCTAAAGTCAACTGCTTCAGTCCCACAAAAAGCCTCTCCAGCCAAGATGAAGGTGTTGAGATCTTCATATATTTTTAAAAACTGATGCATGCTTGTTGAAGAAACTGCAGTAGAAGAGAGTAATACAGAGACACGACTTGTTGTGAGTTGCCAAAGATTCCTAAGACCTCTTTGTAATGTTTGTGAAACATGTCGTGTGGCATCATTTCGAAGGTGAAACCATGGGGACCCACATCCACTGCTTGAAGCTTCACTTCCATCATCTCTTGATTCTGAAACAGATGCATCATCATCTTGTTTCTGTTTCTCCATGGAAACCTGGAAAAGATATTCAAGAACCAGTTGTAATTAATGGAAATCATGACTACAATTATAATATTACAATAAAGATATGAATCATACCTTATACTCTGAATGGAAACTCATAATTGTGTAATATGAGCACATCAATTTGAAGAGGACAGATAGAGTCTCCAATAAGCACTTCCTAAACTCGGATTCAGGTATACGAGTGCAAAGATCACTGTATGTGAGCCTGAAATGTAAAAAATAAATACAATTTAAGTAGGAGTGATAATAGATGAAAATAGTAAAACACAAGGAAAAAAATATACCTAGTGCTTTGAATTTCAGCAGCTTCAAGACCCTGTTACGTTCAATCAATTAGTCAAAAAAAAAAAAAATTAAATCAACAAAAGCATATGATTTAAGGGTACCTTTAGCATGATGTTCTTAAGGACTGAATGTGTTTCAGATATAACCTCCTGCATAAAGAAGCTTTGTATCTTCTCAGCAAGACCAGAAACATCACCTATCAAAGCATAAGCATCAACCACCTGAAAGATTGGAAATAAATTTCATATTTCACAAAGTAAAAATAACAAATTTCAGTTGTTTTACAGCAAATTTCAACACACTCACAGTCAAAAAGCTTGTTTCTTTAAAGTCTTGACACACCCCCAATAAAAGTGAATCCAACTTCTGTAGAGTTCTTCCAAGCCATATCTGCAATGTACATTTGTGATGACTGTATCAGTATAGATGATTAATGTATATGAAGGGTATCTTAGTAATCTTACCTCCACACCACGACTCATCTCTTGTATAGCTGAAAGCTCTGATAGGCTATCCAGAAGTTGGAGGTACTCAGACAAGACTTGGAATGCCTGTACATAACAAGATGTATATTTATGATTTACACTGCTATGACAAAAAGAAATTCTAAAAAAAAAAAAGTGCACCTTAGAGAAATTTTCTTCATTGACATGGGTTTCAAGTTCTACTTGCATGTCCTTTGCACGAAGAAGTGCTGATAAAACTGGAAGTATGTCCTGTGAATTTATTTTACATTTTTTGTTAGATGTAAATATAAGGTTAGTGATCTTAAATTAGTGATGTTAAAAGTAAAATTTGTGGAATAAATACCAGAAGATTTTGCTTCTTTCTAGAATATGTGTTAACAATGAGGTCCTGTGATACCTCATTTCGTGAAGAAGTGAGGTGTCTTCTTCCATTCTGTGCATACAAAATAAACATGCATAATGAGTTCTAATATAAAGAAGAAAAAAAAAACTAACTTAATCATTTAATCATCATTTTTTATTTTATATAGCGAGACTAATTCTATTTCTAAGTTCTAACTACCTGCTTACCATGCAAATGACATTTGCAACCTTCAAGTCTTTCTCAAGCTCTCCTACCAAATCCATTCCTTTCACTGAATGAAAATAAACATCAAAGCTTCATCATCATCATCTATGAAATCTGAAAAACATAATTTTGATCATATTATAATAGGCATAGCATTAATCTTACCCATTACTTCATGATTCTCCATCACTTGACGTGATAATCTTTCTGTTACTCTATCCAGTTGTAATAATCTTAGAGCAGCCTACACCCAATGAATTGTAAATTTAAATGATAAAGTAAACATTCTTTATCATATCTAAAGTCTAAACACATGGAAAAGTATAAAAAGTGGATCAAATTACCTTCCCCTCCAAATATGGAAGATCATTTTCTTCAGATGGGAGATTCTCTAAGGTGTGTTGAACAGGATCAAACTCCTACATAAAGCATTTGGATATGGAAGCAACTATTATATAAAGCATTTGGATACAAGTAGTCTGAAATGTTAATGAAGAAATCTCATAGATGCAAAACCTCTTCATAGAATTCCTCCTCAAGCTCTTCTAGTACTTGATCATGTGGCTCACTTCCATATATAGAAGTCAGCTCTTTAGAGCTTGAAGAGATATTGTGCCTCTGATGTGGAGGGATTGAAGCAAGTGCACGAGCTATGGTTGCTGCAGCTGCAGCACGTTCTGGAACCTGTAAGACAAATCATATTGTTTGAACAAGACATGTATTTACCTTACTTACCCCTTCAACTTAGATACACCAGTTGTATGCTTCTCTTTTCTGGAAACCATGTTTTTAGTTTTCTCTTAGTCTTATATCCTTAAGTTGAAAGTGACAATCCTACTTGGGACAATCATGATTCATCCATCAGCACTTAGCACTAACAAAATTCTATACTCTCTTTGTCCAACCATGAGAAATTTCTAGAGCTCATTTATATGATTTGCAATCAAATTGAAATACAAATCAAGTTCCCTTTTATCAAGCCTTGGAGCAGTTGATAAGATTTCTCCTTTGTAATCTAAAGGTAATTGAATCCCACAAAGATGTTTGTAGCCATTGTGGAAATCATGCAGATCCCAGCTTACATGAGAAAGTCTTAAAATAACTTTAACAGGTTTCACTTACAAAGTATACACAGTTCCCATTATAAAGTTACCATGCCCACTCCCATTAGCTCCAAAACATCAACAAAGTACAGAACAAAACATATTTATTATCATAAAGATGTTACTTTAAGCTACTTATCAAATTTAAAAAACAGTATTATTATACCACAGTGGAGCATAGGGCATGTTATGGGAGTTTCTGTGTGTGTAAATAACAGTTCATTAACAAAAAGCATAGAGTGAAACTAACTAGGCCATGATCTGTTCTATTAAACTACTTCCATTAGAATGAAATCAATTCACCCATTCAGTCTACAGCACAACACAAGTGAGGCAGACTTATAGCTATTTGTCTAAACGGGAGTTGTAACATTCCAATTACCTCGGGCCGATCTGAAGTCGAAGGAAGGAAGCCGAGAGATCTCGCGGAGCGGACAGAACTAAGAAACTTCTCACCAACCTTTGAAAAATCCATACCACCAGCAGCACCGTCGCTGCCGCTACCTCCTCCTGGAGATAACAGAAGCGAACCTAGGAACAAAAACCTGGAAAGCTCAAAACCCTCGGGGCTCAAATTTCCGTGATTGAAAGCGAGTGGAATCAGAGCAAATGGAGTTGCTGAAAAACTACTTGGCTGCATCTCATCAAATCAGGGCTCTGAAATCAAGCAATTGATGAAATCGAAAACCCATTTGTGAAGATTTATTCAGATCGGTGTTGAAGGGTTTAAAGAGCCGTGGAAGAATGTGAGATCAAAAATCGGTTTGAGGACACAGAGTCACTGTGTGTCTCGATTGTCTTGCGATTTTTCTTTTGCATATCTATCAAACCACTTGACCTTGACTTCTATGCCACTCTGTTTTTCATGTATTTTTTTTTATGTATTTTTTTTTAATTAATTACCAATATTTTTATATTTGATATATTACACATTGTATAACTAACCATTTAAAATCAAATTATAATTGATTATTCATAACTAGATTAAGCTGGTAAATAAACTTATATTGGTAAAATGTTTGGAAGGTTTACAATATAATTTAAGATGATTCATTCATAAAGAGATTATAATTTGTTCAATTTTTGACATGATTGTTTGTCGGTGTGATAATTGCCATGTGAGACATTTTGAAGGCATGAAACTTGTTCCTTGGTATTCTCTATATGATTTCTTTTTTGTGGCCCATTTCCTTTATATTCTTATGTCCTCCTACTAATCACTTCTAGTATTCTTTTTAATCACTAATAAATTAAAAGATTGGTGTAATGAACAAATGATTAGATGATACATTGGTGGTTGCGTGTTTATCATATACTAGGCGAATGTCCACGCGTTGCGTAGAATATAAAAAAATATTTATATTAAAAATAACTAAATCATTATTATTAACAACTAAATAATAATTTCATAAAAAAAATATAAAAAATGATTTTTAGTATTGTTATTATGTTGAACTATATTATAAGAGATAAGGTTGGAACTTGAAGTTGTTTTACTGACTGTGGAATTACAGAAACCTTCTGTAAAGTTGATAAAGTTACTTGCAAAAAATTCAGAAATGAAACATCTGCAAGATTAAGCCTTGCCATTTATCAAGACGATACAAGCAAGACTAACCAACCACTTCTTCGACCAAAAATTCAAAAAGTCAAAGAAGCACACAGAGACCAAAGGTTTGACGTTCCAATTGACGTTCAACAAATGGTTAACTATCCTGAAATCTCTTTTGAAGATTTCAGAACAATCTGGAAGAAAGCAAGAGCTGCATGCCCAGAAGACTTGTTCATGAAAAGTTTTTCACTACGGATAAGAAAACAAAAAGTCTGTTCAACTTTCTCGAAGGAGCAGATGCAAAATTAGTCTACCAAGCCTTTCAAGCTGAACTAATCGACAATATCTACCCAAGTTGCAACCTTCAAGAACTCAAATTCTTCCCAATCAGCATGGTAGAATCCATTAAGAACTTTCGAAAGAAAGTACTTAAAGCAAAAGATAATTCGATCTACATCAGATGCATCTCTTCACTCCCAGAATGGATTCAAGAATCAACTCTTTCTCCATACCACTTTCTGGAAATTGGTCTTTCTAAAGCCAACAGAGAGATTGAACAATCTCAACCAATGGAAGATAAAGATTTACCTTTCACAGAAATTCTTCATCCCAATCGCATCAATGGTTTAAGAAGAATATCAGAAAAAATCATTGAAATTATCTCTGGTTCAAAAAAGAAGATTAATTATACCGATTCACATTCTTCAGTTTCTAATGATAAAAGTTGAATAAGTTTTTGGTCAGCTTTATCATAATCTTCAAATTGAAGGTTAAAGAAATATTTCTCGAGTTTCTCAGAGATTGTTTCTTTCATTTTTACTCTTTCCTGAAAATGTCAATTTTCTGGGAATTTTTTGAGCTTCCTAAGTCAGGGTTTCCAACACTAGGATTGGGAGGTGAGTATTTCTTAAGACCTGAATATTTTCCTGGCTTGGATTTTTGTTCTATGATGGAGATATTTTTGATGTGCTCAAGAATGTCTTTATTACAAGGGCAAGAGTCAATCTTTTCAGATAACTCCTTAATAATGTCTGCAATAATTTTTGCAGATGCTACTTCCAACTGGGCAATGGTTACGTATTTATTGACTATTAAGTCCACCTGTATAATCAGACCATCTATTTTTTCATTAAGGAGGTTGATTGATCTATTGAGCTCGGGTATCGAGGTGGTTGATCTATTCAGCTCGGGTATCGAGGTCATCCTATAAGTTGTTTTAACTGATCATGTATATTAGTGATCTTAAGGTTGATTTCCTTAAGAGTGCCCTCAATATTTGCCTTTTTGGCGACTTCTTCAACAAATTGGTTGTTTTTTAAAGAGTTTTCTAAAAGAATAGAATGTTTGTCAATAGACTGGGTTAACTTGATAGTTAATTTATTTTGTCTTTCAATAACTTCCAAGAATTTTTCCAAATCTTTTTTATCAAGATTGTTTTTAACCATAAAGGCTAAATCGTTTTTAAATTGGTTAAAAGGTATTTTATTTTTTGAAATATCTTCAGAAATATCTTTTGAAATACCAAGATAATGGCTTATTTTTGAAGTTTTTAAGAGGCATCTTGCAATGATCTGGTTGAGATTATTGCAATGATTTACAATTGTTTGAATACCGGCTTTTCCTGAAGTAGAGAAAACGTATTCTTTCTTTTCAGTATTATCGTCAAGAGTTTTAATTTTGACTGTTTTACCTTTTTTATAGAAATGAGGAAAATCAATTTTATTATTCATTTATAATGTCAGTGATTTGTTTGATATTCTGGCGTAGACTATCAATTTTTAAAGACATGTTTCTTATTAAATTATTATCTTTTCTTTCCGAGCTTTCTCCTATGTGGAGTGAATCCATAGAAATTCTTGGTCTAAGAGTTTCTCCTAGAGCTTTTTTATTTCTAGCTATATTTAAAACCCAAGAGTTTTCTTGAGGATTTATGTCGCAGAATTGTTTATCTTTGACATGGCCTATTTCTGAAAAGACATCATCAAGTTCGATGTACTCGTCTTTCTTATAGTCTATGCTATGGTGACTGTTGGTCAAGGCATATCCTATAAGATATGTTATGGTGAATGGTTTATCACCTGGAGTCATAAGGTCACTTCTTTCAAAGTGATGTATAAAAGATAAGGTTTTATCTATATTTGCAGATTTTAAATCCAGAGCAAACTTTGGATAGACTGAAAACATAAACTTTTGGTAAGCAAGGTTTCCCTTTGCAGCACCTAAGATGCAGTCCTGTCTGTCAGTAATTCTGTTGTCAATTAAGGCCATTTTTATGGGAGAATTTATTCCTGCTTGGAATTGGGATTTTAGCAAAATTTTTACAGCTCCGATATGGACCAATTCTAATTTTTGATCTAATCTCAACTGGAATACTTTTTAAGTTATTGTTTATTTGTTCCTTAGTTAAAAAGGGTAGAAAGACAGCTCCTATTGTATCTTTTATGTCTACTGACATTTCTTTAGTACTAGCAAAGTAGAAGATTTCATTTTTCCTTTTAAGAGGATTTAAAATACTAAGTTTAGAAGGAACATTTTTGAAAATGTTTTCTTTCTTTATTTTTAAATCTATTTTCTTAACTCGAGAGAGAAGGTCTTGTTTTATTAAAAGATTTGCATGAAAGCCATCTTCATCTTCAACATAAGTTAAGATTTGTTTTTCTTCTGAATTATTTTCTTCAGTGTTGTTGAAAATTTCTTTATTCATTTTAAGAAAATTTTAATAAGTTAAAATAAATTTTCTGAGTTCTGAAACTAATTTTTTATTTCTATCAAGATGTTCTTGATGAACTTTTTGCTCATGTAGGAGATACTTACGTATACTAACCAAGTTTGGTATATATTCGTGAGTATGTTTATTTTGTGCTTGTAGAATTCTGAAATTTATATGCACTAAATCTTTTTTATTATTGAAAAGTATTTCTTTATGTTGAGAAATTTCAATTTCTTTATTATGAATATCTTCAAAAATTACACTGTAAAGTGTTTTATTATAATGTAATGCCATTTTTATCAAGGCTCTGATATAAAGAAATATTTCTATTCAAGAACAATCTGGAAGATTTTTGTTCTGCTCAATTTGGAAAGTCACTGTAAAGTGTTTTATTATAATGTAGTTATTCCCTTCTTTGTTATATCAACAAATTCCGTACACATCCACACACCCAAACTGGTATCAGAGCCTTGATAAAAATGGCATTACATTATAAAAATTACACTGTAAATATGAAAAAAAAATAGATGGTCTGATTATAAACTTGGACTTTTATCAGACCATCTTTCTTTATCTAATACAAAGTTATATGATTAAAATATGAAAAAAAAAATTAAAAATAAATAAATCGTTATTGTAACGCCTCATTTCTGGTATGTAATTCAAATAAAATATTTTTATTTATGAAGGGGTATTCGACGAGTCTGTAGCTCGACTCGTCGAGTAGAGGCGGGATGATCACGCGTTTTGAGCTGGCTACTCGACGAGTCCATATGTTGGACTCGGCGAGTCCGCCTGTCTGGATGGAGCCCTAATTTTAAGGTTTTGCACCCTATTTAAACACACTTATGTGCCCCCCAACTTCGCCTCTATCACTCTCAGAACATTCCCCCCGTAAACCCTAGCCCCATTGTTGAGTTTGAGTGTGTTTGTGATAGCTTGGAAACTTTGGAAAGGAAAGAAGGTCCATTGAAGGGAAGGAAGATCCAGGAGTTAGCTTACATCTGTTCATCATTCAGGTAATGAAGTTATAACCTTGTGCATTCCTCCATTATAACCTCCTTTATGCTTGTTATGCCTTCCTTGGAACCTTTTTATGGTTCAAAACTTGAGATATGGACTCTCCTTGGATGAAAACTTCGGATCTGGACTCTTATTGCATTCTAGAAGTGTAAAGTTTCAGTTGAGGTCGTGATTGAAGTCCCTCTTGAGCTTGTAACCCCATTAAGAACCTAGGGTTGGCATTAGAAGCCTTTAAAGCCATGCATGCACGTAAAGTTTGCAACTTTACATGATAAGCATGCCCTAGAAGCATGGATCTGTGACTTAGAGTCGTTGCATGGCTCAAATCAGATATGTATGGAAAGGGACTGAATGGAATCGGCGAGTCACAAGCTTGACTCGGCGAGTCATATGAAGATAGCCTTGGTCTCGACGAGTTGGATGAGCAACTCGACGAGTCTGATGAAGATTGCCTTAGACTCGACGGGTTGCTCTACAACTCGGCGAGTTGGATGAGTTTTCCCGAGAAAAGTAGTGTTTGAGTGAAATGGATTCATTCCTTCGTAGTTACACGT